AACCGTGCAACTCCAGACAGTTACGAAGCGGTCCGGGCAGAATCCTCGCCACTGCTGTTGCCTGATGCTATCTGCGTTGACGGTCCAGATGCTCCGTAACCGTACGACTGTTCGTATCATTCTGCCTGTTCGACTTCAGACTCGGTACTGCATGCTTCGATTGCTACTGTCAGGAGTAAACAGTAACACTTCATCTTTTACTAATCGTAACACCGAGTAAGGCCTCTCCCTTACTCCATTTTTTGGGGACGAACTCCATCCCTTTGGAGTGTGGCTCGGTAGGGGTCACCCAACATTGCCCCTCGTTTGGTTTTTAACATCTAATGCTCACCCTCCCTATCTTTGTTAACTTTACTTGCAAATTCTCCGTACCCTCTCAGTCCACGCAATGTAACATTTTCCGCCTCTGATTTGTCAGAATCCCAACCACTAGACCATTGGGATAAAAGGGCTTGTTAAGTAGCGGGTCAGTGCGCCCATAACCCCCCAGGCCAACATGCCTGTAACCCTTCCCTAGGATCAATCGGGGATCACCAGTGGACCTCTGACACCCCCCCGCACTGGGATGCCCGAAGTGCACACGCTGGGATTCGAACCCGAGACCTTCGCTCTGATACCATGTCAGAATCCCAACCACTAGACCATTGGGATAAAAGGGCTTGTTAAGTAGCGGGTCAGTGCGCCCATAACCTACCAAGCCAACATGCCTGTAACCCTTCCTTAGGATCAATCGGGGATCACCAGTGGACCTCTGACATGATTAACCCCAACCATAATTTGTTTCAGCTAAGGTGAAAATACGAGAAGTGTGTGAAGTTTTTTTTCGACCGAGCTCTGGATAACACCCCCGCAACTTTCTAACTCGAAGTTACGAGGGGCACTCGGATCATCCAGAAATTACAACTCCACCCTGCACGTGCGATATGATTGCATGTCTGTGTACTCCCTGAGCCTACCCAGTAGGAGTAACCCAAAGTAAGCGACTCGGAATAAGGGCCACGGACAGGGCTCTGAATCTATTTTGGATCAGACTGATCGATCAACGCCGGTACAGAAAAATACGCCGATGATCAGCGTTTCCAAGAGAAAAATAGCTGAAAAATCAACGTCGGTACACAAATGAACTCTGATTATTATGTACAATGTATTGCTATAACGCTGAAGAGCAAAAACTGAATGTAATTGAGTTCTTTTCGTAGTTGGAGGGACTTGTGAGAGAACCAGGTGGGCTGTGGGGAAGGGACGAGAGGAGTAGGTGGGCTGGGGGAAGGTGCGAGTCGGGTGGGGGGGGGGAGGAAGAAGGATGGCGCGAGTGAAGAAGGTGGGTTGGGGTAAAAATGGACTGGGTGGGGTGACGAATCGTAACTGTGGGCTATGGGGAGGGGCGAATCGTAGTGGTGGGCTGGGGGAAGGGGCGAATCGTAGTGGTGGGTTGGGGGGAGTGGCAAATCGTAGTAGTATAGAATCGTAGTGTTAGGCTATGGGGAGGGGCGAATCGTAGTGGAGGGCTAAAGGGAGGGGCGAATCGTTATGGTGGGCTGGGGGGAGGGGCCAATCGTAGTGGTGGGCTGGGGGGAGGGGTGAATCGTAGTGCTGGGCTGGGGGAAGGGGTGAATCGTAGTGGTGGGCTGGAAGGAGGGGTGAATCGTAGTGGTGGGCTGGGAGGAGGGGCGAGTCGATGAGTCGTAAAGGTGGGCTTGGGGGGAGAAGGGTACGGATCCAACATAGGGTCTCTCACCCGTTATCAGTCAGAGGGATCAGCGCACACTCACAAAAATGGCTGAAAAATCAGACAAGGTACAAACAAAAAGACTGAAAAATCAGCCAAGGTACATAGAAAATAAACTCTGAAATCAGCCCAGGGTTGAAAAAAAAGGCTAATTTTACGCTGAATCATCGTAAAAAGTCTGATGTCTAGGGCCCTAGCCACAGATCACCACCATTGTTTTCGTGCCAGATTTGTTCCCGTAGAGCGGGTCCAACTTTATACACTCCTTTTTTTTTTTTTTTTTTTTTTTTTCCCCCGTTATTTTACGTCAACGCACTTGTCAAATTCGAATGTACCAGATGGTGTACTCCGAACATGTCAATCTCTTTGAGGTCACTTGTTCGTCAGCGCCAAACCAAACCCTCCGACAACTTGATGGGGCTCTCTGCCTTACATCAGCCATGGATGTTACCGCGAACCTGGAACCCATCAATGTTACACATATCCGCGTCAATCCCGCTAATATTATAACCATCGTGTCAGAATGTTATTATCTAGCCTGTAGTGGGGTGCTCTATAGCGAGTACAACCCTGTTAGGGTTTGCTATATGTATCCCAACTGCTGCTAGTGAAAACCCTCCTTTGCTCATTTCTCTCTTGCCTAGCTAGGTAAACCCTAGCTATGGCTCCTACTTGTGCCTACTATTCTCACATGCTATCAGAGCATCTACGCTCCTGGCCTGTGGGCCCACCTAACTGCTTCCGCTGCTACTCTGTCTGTTGCACGCCCCGTGGCGTGCGACTCCTTCTTCCTGCCGCGCGCGGAGCGGGTTTCTGGTTTTCTTTCGGGTTTTCTTTCCGCCGTGCGCTCGGGGCGCGCGGCGGTTTTCTGCCCGCCGTGCGCCCCGAGGCGCGCGGCGGTTTCCTACCTTGGGGACCCGCGCGCGGCCCCCGCCCTGCTCGTCTCGGCGCCCTGGGGAGCACGCGCGGCCCCCGCCCGTCATGTCGCGGCGCCCTGGGGAGCCGCGCGCGGCCCCTCGCTGCCCCGTGGTGGCGCCCTAGGGGCTGCGCGTCACCCCTGGAGCCGCGCGCCACCCCTGGCGCCGCGCGCGGCCCCCCCTCGCTGCCCCGTGGTGGCGCCCTGGGGGCCGCGCGCCGTCCCCCTCGCCGCCCCCCGCGCTCCTACCCCGTGCCACCCGTTTTAGGGTTTGGGGGTGGGGAGTGTGGGGGTGACGGTTGTGGGGGTGCCGGTTGTGTGCGCCGTCCCCTGCTCCTCCTCCTCCTCCGTCTCCCGCTGCTGTAGCTGCCGCTCAGGGGGGTGGGTGTGTGGGAGCCGAAGGAGTGGTGCTAGGGGGGTGACGTGGGAGTGGAGTTAGGGGTTCAGCAGGGGGTGTGTGTCAAGGGTGTGGGTCAGTTGGAGGAAGTTGTGTGGAGGTAGCTGTCGTGTCGCCTGCAGCGCCTGTAGTCCATCGCCCTTGCTTCGGTAGCCAGTGAGCCTGTTGCACCAGTCGCCAGTGGGTCCGTTGTTCCTGCCGCTCGTCTTAGCCGCGGAGCCAGTCACTCCAGTAGTCCGTCGCCCTTGCTTCGGTAGCCACTGAGTCAGCCGCTCCTGTGCCTGTGCCTCTGCAGCTTCAGTCGTTGCCTCCCATCTTCTCTCCTTCCACAGTTCCTCCTCCTCCTCACTTGCCCTCTGTGATAGCCTCTAGCTTTGCTTGCAATTGTGCACCTGCTCTATGACTGTGTGCTCTGCTGATTACACCCCACTTTGGCTATGGGGGTGTGTCAGAATGTTATTATCTAGCCTGTAGTGGGGTGCTCTATAGCGAGTACAACCCTGTTAGGGTTTTCTATATGTATCCCAACTGCTGCTAGTTAAAACCCTCCTTTGCTCATTTCTCTCTTGCCTAGCTAGGTAAACCCTAGCTATGGCTCCTACTTGTGCCTACTATTCTCACACATCGAGTTCGTCTTCACGAAGGGTACCAGATTCAATTTTTTTAAGTTCATACAACGAACATTGATCTTGCTTCCCTGAGGACGGAAAGAATCAATGGTCTTGTAATTTGTCTGCTGGTGTTCTCGAGGATGTTCCCTTCAAGTCATTATCAGTGGAGCATACATCACCAAGCTACTTTCATACTATTCAAGGCTACACAGCTACTAAATGCATCCTTATTGTGCTTAGATCACATTATCTCCAGACTCGTACTGGACATGGTGGTGTCATTTTCATCACCGCACGATGCCTCATCTACAAGCATCAAGGCTGCAATGGCTGCTGATGCTACTGTATCTACGACGGCAGCTGCCGTTCCCCCGACCACGACTCCTCAGAAGCCTAAATCGAAGTCAGGGCTTCCCCTCAAGTCGGATACTATTTTCGAGTCGGCGAAATGTCCTTTTTTGCCAGAAGATTCTGAATCACTAACATTGTCGGCGAAGCTCGCGGCCATCAGGATTGAAGAAGCTGCGAAGGAAGGGAATAAGGAAGGGGAGAAGGTGGTTTTTCAGGATGTGGTGTCTGAAAAGGCACCTGATTTGGACAATGTTGTCCATGATGACGAAAAGGAAGTTACCGATGAGGACGCGTCAGCAACAAAGCTGCTGAAATTCATGAACGACGAAGAGGACGGGATGATAGCGTATGACCCTGATAAAGAGGTGGAAGAACAGTCGAAAGGGGTGATTACATCGCGTTTGCGTTTTGCGATCGCGCTTCTAATGCCTAACGAGCGAGCTTTCGAGCTAACGTTGATTTTGGTGGTGTTGCACAAGATTTGGCTTGAACACTGCATGGCGCTATTTTACACAAAATTGTACCCAAGAAAGCGGAAGTAGAGATTTGTGCCCATGCGTGAGTTTCTTGTGAGGCTCGGAGGACGTCTGATGGCAAGGCCATTCAACCCGGCATGTAAAGGTGTTGGAGGCAACTGACTGGCGATAAGGCTAAGCCGTATCTGCGCGTTTGTGGAGGATGAGTTTCGGTCCATTTGGGCCAACACGAGGACCTAGTTCCGTTTGCCTTAAAAGACACAGAACCTTTTTAGGTTGCCCCTCTTCTGTTTCAATCAGGGCTGACGATTCATATTAGGGTTCCCTGATTCCCGAAAAAATCTCCCCCCTGTATTATGTGTGCAACTTTTCAGAAGTATGCTACCCTCATAGCTCAGGGTTCAACAACGTGTCACTCTGATTCGTCAGGGTCCATACCCTTAGATCAGGGTTTGTTTTTAAATTGCACTAGGCTGTTTACTGCAATGCACAACATGCAAGATATTTCATACTACACTGTCTAGTGCACAGGCCTGTCAATGTGGAACACCTCCTCCACATCCTCATCGTCCGAAAGGAAAGGGTTCTCCTCCTCCTCCTCCTCCTCCTCCTCCTCCTCCTCCTCCTCCTCCTCCTCCTCCTCCTCCTCCTCCTCCTCCTCCTCCTCCTCCTCCTCCTCCTCCCCCACAAGCTCCTGATCGTCGCCCAGGTCCTGTTCCACATCATCATCATCCTCCCCCCCCTCCTCGTTCTGCCTGACAGTTCCTACTTCGACTTCGCCCTCCTTCGTTTTCCCCTTCCTGTCACGCTCTACCACAGCAAGCTTCGCGCTCTTCGCGGGGCGCCTCCTCCTCATAGACCTCCAGACCTCCAGGGCGTCCAGCCACTCAATTTCATACTTCAGGAGCGTAATCTGCATCAGTTCCCCCAGCCGCGCGTGGTAGAGAGCGCCTCGCACTCAAAACTTGATTACACTTTGTCTGGAGAATCCTCTCTCGCACTCCACAGTTGACAGGGGGAGCACTGCGATTGCCTGCCACAGTAGGATGAGGTTGGGCCATCTCCTGCCAGGTACATTCACGCAGACGGGCAGAGAGAAAAAGCTTTCATGACATGCACACAATACACTCACATCCTGCACTGGCATCCCATGCTGTCACACTACACTGACATATCTCTTTGAGTCAGTGCTCCCGAGAATGTTGGTCAGCCCTGCGTAAAGCTTTCCATCTCGTGGTGTGCCTCCATGATCGCACAGAATGTCGGGAGCTCCCTCTTTGCGGCCTTGAGATGTAATCCTGACAGCTTGTTGCAGAAGAGTTTGCTGCATCCCGGAAGCCACTCACGGCACTTCCGCTACTGTTGAGCCTTGATCTTCGGCCACTTTTCCGCCTGAAACAGCTTCGTCGGCCCTAGCTTCCCCAGGTCAACAAGCCAGTCGTTGAGATTCTCCACGCAATTGCGGGCGAAACTGCGGCATAGCTTCATGCACTCGTCGTACCCACTCCCCAACTTATGCCCTGGGAGCTTCCTTTAGTGCATGGTGTACAGATGGTTGATTGGGCATCCCTCCCCGCCATGCCTTTCACACGGACCTTCTTGCCTCCACCTTGCCCGTGCAGCTTCAGAAAGCCGACCAGCCGGCACTTACTTTCGCCGTCGAACTGCTTGTCAGCCAACAAGTACCACTTTGTCAGATCCGCCGTGGTGGACTCGATGGTCTTGGAAATCTCCGTCACATCAATTCATTATAGCACAGCCATACAGCACATGTAAGACAACATCCAACACTACATTAAACAGGGCACAAGCAGAGGCCAGTTCGCGAAGGTAAAAAAACTTACACCACGCTTCTGGAAACATCGGTTGAGGTCGTTCATGTCGGCGAGGATGTCGGCGAGGAAGAACAGGGAGAACTGCAACTTGTAGCACGTCACAATCTCGTACAATTTGTGATTCCTCTCCCAGAGAAGAACAATACACGCGCCGAGCACCTTGCACAGCCAACGCACCGCATCTCCTCGTGACAGCCATCGAACCGTGTGGATCCTATGGACTTCGAGGTTTGTGTTGTAGATCACTCGCTGCAGGTACTTGAATCGTTGGCTCCAGACTGATGAATCTCCGAGCTTTGCCACCACGGTGCGCACCACCTTGTCCACCATGTCCAGATCGGGGTTAGAAGTCGCCAGCGCCTCCCTGTAAGACGCATGGGAAATAATAGATGATTTTAAAGAAGAACAAGTGACATATAAAGGACAATTAGCCGACTGTAAAATATACCGGTGGGCAATGCAGTGACAGGAAAAGAGATGGGGGACGTGTTCCCGAATCCGCGCCACCAATCCGTTGTCCTTCCCCAACATGACTGACGCCCCGTCCGTACTGAATCCCACAATCTTGGACACATCGATGGTTGCAGGACAGAGATGATTCATGAGCACCTCGAACAGGGATGCAACATCATACTTCTCGACTGTCAGCCGGGTGAAGAACTCGGTGACAACTCAGCGATTCTTCATGAAGGTGAGGTAAACAATCATGTATTTCCCACACGTTCGGTCGGTGCTCTCGTCGCAGCTCAGGCCCAGGAACGGGGAAGAGTGGATGTGGTCCATCTGCACACTCGTCAGGTAGGTACTGATGCTGTGAACCATCCGCTGGAATCCGTACCTGCACATGGACTTATTTCAATTAGTTAATAAACAACCAAGGAAATATTTGACTAAAAGCATGCAAGACAACAAGTCCGTAAATAAACATCATACCGAGTGAGATAGACACCGTAAGATTGCCTCGGTATGTCGGGCGTGTCCTGCTCCGCGAGATGCCGCATCATCTTTGGGAACATGCTGATCGGCGCGTCGCACTGCCGCAGAAACACAACCGACCGCATGAGTCGAATGGCGCGCCTGCCCTCGATGTCCGAGTTGATGAAGTTGAAATCACTTGCTGTCCCTCGCAGATGCCCCTCGCAATCTTCAGCTGCTGATCACCGTCACGACCACCGTCATCACCTTGCCTGGCGTACCTCGTATTCTCCTTCTTGTAGGACATGCAGACGCTGCACTTCACATAGGGAAAACCATCCTTGGTTTTGCCAAACACAAGCCACAAAAACTGACTTGACCACTTCGTCTCGTAATTGATACTCGCCTCAAGGTACAAATGCTCCCCCAGCTGCATCTTGATGAGTGCGAGCGAGCCGGTGTCCGCGTGGACAGGGATATCATCTTCCTCTTGGGTATCAGCTTCCTCAGGTGGTGGATCAGCCGGATTGTTCGGAGGTGGAAGATGGCGGCCTCCGATAAGCAGGGTACTCTGCGCCCACTTCCCAGATCGTGCTCTCTTTGGGGTGGAGGTAACCGACGGAGGACCAACAGACACCCGCACCGTGCTTGGTGTGGGACTTGGCGCGGCCAGTGGTGGATCTTTACTGCAAGAAGCGATAGTCGGGGGTAGAGTGAAGGCGGCCTGGCGGGGAGACTCGTTGGGAGTAGATGTGTCTCCAAATGCAGAGTCATGGACGGTAGACCTAGGAGGATTAGGTGTTACTGGAGCAGCAGAATTTTTAAGAAAATCGAGCCCACAGCGACGGGCATCAGAAGGTTTCTTCGGCAGCATAGCCTCCGTGTGTTTCGACGGTAATGGTGGTTCATCTACCAGCCTGAGGAGAATCATCGTCGGCCTGCTGGCCTTCCATGGCGGCAAGAAAGTAGAGAGGGTGAGAGAGAGATAATGAGAAAAGGATTGAACAAAATGAAAATAACAGCAACACCACGAGGACCCTGGCTGGGGGAAGGGGGAAGCGAGAGATGGCTGGAGAAGATGGGGTCAGCAAGAAACCACCGCGTCGCCACGAAATTGGTGGTGCGGTGGCCGAGACCTCGAGCTGTCAATGTATTCGGCCATTCATGCAAGGCTGAATACATTGAAGGACTGCCTGTCTGCCAGCGACGACTGCCACTATGTGGCACTCGCCAATGAGGGACACATACTGTGCTTTGCGCGGTGCGCGTGGTAGTAGAAATGATGATTCTCGTTGCGTTGTCAAAGTTGACAGTTGTGCTGTACATCGATGCTGCACAGTGGAGTGTGGTAATATATGTATGTATTATGTCACTTCTGCGCGTGAAACAAATCCCCCACATGGTTACGTGTGAAATCAAAATCGTGCACATGGGGGGTTATCGGGACGAAGCTTCTCGGAAGCTTTGTTCCGATAACATCACATTCAGGGTCCATAGATCGCGTACTTTGTATTGACATGGTCCATGAGAACACTACACTTAGAGTGTTTACAAAATTTCAGGGTCCGTTAAAGCAATACTCTAAATGGATCAAAATGTTAAAAACCTAAAATCAGAGGGACCACAAAGAGACAAGTCTGAAATCACCCTGAAATTAGGGTAATTACCCTGATAAAATCAGCACGGTCAGAGGTTGCTCAGCAAAGAATTTGGAACCTACAAGGTCGAATAAGCCTAAGGGCGTGTGTGGTCTTACAAATTTGTGAAAGTTTATGCTTTTTAGGTCGAATGCTGCATTTGAACAAAACTCGACTTTCCTTGCAGCGAAGTTCGAATCTTGGGTCTCCAACACAGACGAGTCACAATCACGAGAGAATTGCCGCGGCGCGGGCTTTGCCCTCGTGAATTTTCATCGCGCTCAAATTTTTACACAACCCGAAAGACACACCATCCACCCGCTATCGCGAGCGGTACGCGCTCCTGACATTTTGACTTCAATGTGGTAGTGTACATGTAAGTGTATGGTCATGTCGGAATTTTTTTCCAGGAACCCAACCGAGAGCCTCCAACATTGTTGGAGCCAAACCAGCGAAGTGCTGGGTTGCCAAGCCTACATGTGACATCTTGTAGTTTAGGCTCGATAATGCGCCATTCAGTCGAAAATCCTGTGTGCGCCAAATGGCAGTCATTTAAACGACATGTTCATAAGCAATTGAAGATGCGCATCGTGAACGCGGACCAATAGGGATAATTGTCGTGACGATGCGCGAACCTGTACACGTGGTTGGACTTTCGTTGCTTATTCCCCGCCGAAACAATGACAGACAACATTTCCGCCGAACGGCATGCATGCACCAGTCTGACATCAACGTGGATACGTTGGTTGAATGTGTCCTGACATTTCACAACTAGAAAATTAGCACCAATCGCAGCCAGCCATTCATGAACAAATTTGCCCACGTAGTATGTTGGCCAGGTTGCTACAGGTGCTCATTAACACCATGCGTGAAACTACCTACGTGGTAATTACAACGCAGCAAGTCCGATCCGCTTTTTATCGACAACGTCTAGGTACATGCCAGCTGCACGCCACTTGGCATGAATCGGAATCCCCGCGTGTGATTCTCGCCTTCCAGGGTCACCCATGAGGGTTTGCTCTCGCATGCTTGTCGCAGTGTTCAACCTCGATTTGTTAAAAAACAGACCGCGAGCATGAGCGAACGAGGATACGCCAGCACAACCCGTGTGGTCCCCAACAGGATAACACAACGTTCGAGTCGCGACATCCAGCCATTCAGTGCTCGCCGTGTTCAGCACGCTAATCTCAAAAGCGAGGGCAGCTCTTGCACGTGATTCGAGAACCCCGTTCACCCGCTCTCGTTTTGATTGTCATTCTTGCTCATTACCTGATGTGTTATACCGACCGTCCTGCATTCGCTGTTTATATTTTCACCAGTCCGTTTCGAACCACCTCGCATTAGCAGTTCCTCTAGCCGTTGTTCACAAGATTCAGACCTTGAGGCCCGCCAAGACAGCACGCTTTACTCCTTCGTTGCCGTTACCTTACCGCTCACCAGCTTTCTCCACTAGCGACTACAAATGCCTA